AACACTCAGTTTGTCACCCTGCAGCTCTTTCCATCTCTAGCTCTGCCATGCTGTCCTGGAGCACTGCACCACAGTGAGCAGAGATTGCCACTGCCAACACCTACTGCCTGCCACTGGGGAAAAAGGTAGCAAGTCTTAGTGGAAAGCAAAAAAAAAAAAAAAAAGCATTAGGAGTTCTCTAGTCTCCCAGGAGTCCTAATTGTATCACTAGCTGCTAAAATAAAGACTGGACTCACTGAGTATTTTTATCCCTCAAAATTAATTTACAGCACATCTGTCACAGCAGGATATACTGTTTCCCTACAGAAAATCAGTATTTCTCTTGTGCAATTGGCTTTTTGATGGCACATTATATATAATGCATTCATGCACAAACAGTTCATTCTGCCCTGGTTATTTTCCCTGTCATAGCGTGAGTATTTTTAGCCCTCATGTGATCCTCCAGTATTTTCCAGCTCTGCTTTAGTCATCCTGCTCTCACTGAATATTTCAAACTAAAAAAATCTAACAGCCTTCAGATCTAAGAACCTCTCACATTTTTAGCTTGCATGTAAATAATTCATTTTATTAAGCTGCCTTATACCCGTGTATTTTTGACACCCCCCACCCATACACTAGAGAGTGCTCCATGGAGATTTGCTCTGACATACAGGAATACTTACATAAGACACTAAGCTAAAATCCTGACAACCTGATCACTATTTTCAGTTTTGATCAGATGAAGCCTTTTCCGCTATTTCCCGCAGGGAGCATTAGAACTGGCACAAACAACAGTGCCCTAATATTTTAATCCTGTACCACAATTTTGACTCCACATCTGTAGGCTGTTTACCACTGCATTAGAGAAGAGCAGAGGCTGTAGGAGATCGAAAGTCAGCTCAGGGCTGGCAGACGGCATCAGCTCTAAAAGCAGCTGTGGTGCTGCTGCCAAGAGCCTACAGCGGTGGTCTGTGCTGCTCCTTGAAGGAGGAAAAGACCCTCATTTCCCCACCCAGGTGCTGCATTCACCTGGTGAAACCTTGCTGCTCCTGTGGTTTCTAGAAGCACATCGCGGCACGTTACCAAAGCTATCCACCCACGGCGCCGCCGTCAGCTCGGGGACAAATCTGCTCTGTCTCTGAAGGAAGGGACAAGGCAGCGCGAGGGTGGCACAGCAGATTAGTTGTAGGGACCTATTTATGCTTCCATTTCCGAGCTGCATTATCCTTGACCTGTGCTGACTCCCCAGTAGGATCACCTTCGGAATGGGAAGGTAAGCTGGCCTGCCTACCAATTAACAAAAAAACCAGTACATTTTTAGACTTCTCAAGTGTTGGGTTGTTTTAAAAATATTTATTTTTCAAATTAAATAAAGACCACACTCTGCATTTATAGAAATACAGGTTAATATCCATTTACAGGTACAGGAAGCAGCTACCTGATACTAGGCATCCCGTCAAGCTTTAGAGTCTGATTAAAATATCAAAAATAATTTTAATTCCTGCCAGTATCTTTCTGGATAAGTTTTTGGAGCAGCCTTTAAGGATCTGACCACTTGTTAACTCAAGGACATATATCTTAGTCTACCTCTGAAAATACATTGTTAGAAAAGTGTTATAAAGCAGTTATGAATAGTCAACAATCATCTCCTAAATCACTCAAGCGCAAAACTCTGTCAAAGGGCACTGGAAGAGTTACTCCACAGAGCAAAAGGAATCATCTGAAATGCCTATGAAACTCCCAGTAGCTAAAGTAAATTATTCCTTTAGAAATACATATATCTAATCAATTTAGAATGGGCATATTTAAAGCCTGCCAAACCCCCAAATACGAATGAGTATCCGTATATCTGCAAAGAAGGAAGGAAACTTGCTTGCTCCTGACACCAAACAATAGATGTGTACATTTAGGTATGTCCACTGCATGGTGTTTAAAAACTTTTGGATTATGCTGAAAGATCTTCTGGGTTCTTTATTTTTTCTCATGAATGCTTCCTTTTGTTTTGTTAATAAACTGACAAGGCAGTACTAAAACTTCAAAGCTCCACTGTTAAGGTGAAGCAAATCACACTAATTAATAACAGCACCAAGCCATGTGGTGTGGTCACGTGCCGGAGGGAAGGGATGTCATCCAGAGGGACTCTGACAGGCCTGAAATGTGGGTCTGTGCAAACCTCATGAAGTTCAACATGGCCAAGTGCAAGGTCCTGCACCTGGGTCAGGGCAATCCCAAGCACAAATACAGGTTGGGTGGAGAATGGATTCAGAGCAGCCCTGAGAAGAACTTGGGGTTGTTGGTTGATGAGAAGTTTAACATCAGCCATCAATGTGCACTTGCAGCCCAGAAGGGCAACAATATCCTGGGGTTTATATTATGGTTCCTATAGCAGCTGTAATGAATACTCCTTCACTTCCAGCCAGGTGTGGAAGACAGAGGTACAGAAGCACATCTTTCATGGTAATTTCCCAGCTGCCCAGAACTTGTTCCTGCATCATCCCAATTTACTCCCAAACAGCAGGAGATGAGGCACACACAAGTTTGCAGATGCATACAGAACTTCTCCCAGAGCATCAGTAAAGGCTCCCACCCCTTCCAATGTGCAGGTTCTGTGATGGGGTGAGGAGAGGCACAAAGGCACCATATATCAGGGCCATTAAAATGTGCTCACGCAGAATTTAGTAAGCCCATGGTATGACTGACACCTAACTGAATTAGCTCTGTTCTAAAATGAAAGCAGCAAGAAAATCTGGAACTCTCATTTCACCCAGCATCATGTAATATCCATACCCCACCATCCTCAGCTCAGAAATTAAACTAGTGTCCAGCCAGTCATATTTCTGAACTATATTTAAGTTAATAATGAAGGACATTTTCCATGAAAAAGCTAACTCTCACAGCCACAGGATCTTATCATGACTCATGACACTATCTCAGTTACACAATTCCATACAAAGGCTGGGAAGGCACAGGACATGCTCTTCATACAACCAGCAACACAACATGCCATTACTGCATTATCCTCCACATCAGCTGGCTGGTTCCACTCCAGTAGCTACTCAATTTCTGTAGGATTGTCACCTGCACAGCTTTAATTTGGATGACATATTTGTGACTTTGGGAAGAACAGACCATCTGTAAGAAGCATTAACAAGCACAGTAAAGTCTGTGTTTAATAAAAGTGTCTTTTCCAATTTCTGAATTGGACAACATCTTGACATTAGCACTTGGGTTTTCTGTTTCCAAAGTGAGTGCAACACATCACATGGGGAATTGGAACGTGCCAGACCCTAAAATTCAGAAGCTCAGGCATAAGATGGTGCAAAATAAAGATGTAAACAAGCTTTAGAAGCCCAGAGTAGCACTGGCCTGCTATTAGGTGCCCTATTTCCTGGAAGCACTAATGAGCTGAAGGCAGCTGGCCAAGTATGCCCCACTTTGACGTCAGAAGTGATCAGAGCAGAACACTGAAATCTGGGTGGGATTCCAGAGCACAACGTGGCCTAAAAGTAAAGGTGCTTCATGCTTCACACCTGCCCCTGCTTTTGTGAGTACTGGTGCATATCCAAGCCCATGTGAGGACAGGTCACAGATTTAAAATCAACTAAGTATTAATCCTTATTTGAGGAACAGGTTAGCATAAACCCAGGACAAACCAATAAAGGAATTAGCTGTGTGTGCATGTGTATTTCCATATGCACAAACCTAGGTCCACTTTTTTAGTGACTATTTCTTTTTCTTAAATGTTAGCTGCTCTTCTGTTCACTTAATTCTCAGTTAACAAAAACAGCATCTGTTTAGTGACTAGTCATACCCACATTACATAAACACCAAAGATCAGGTTTACTCCTTTGGCCTGTTGCAGAAACACTGCTGTGGTTTAACCCCAACAGGCAGCTGAGCCCCCACAGCTGATTGCTCACTGTCCCCTGCAGTGAGATGGGGGAGAAACTCAGAAGGGGAAATGTGAGAAAATTCATGGGTTGAGATAAAGACAGTTTAATAGGTAAAACAAAAGCCATGCAAACAACTCATTCACCACTTCCCATGGGCAGGCAGGAATTAACCTATCTCCAGGAAAGCCAGACCATCACTCATAATGGTGATTTGGAAAGACAAACGCTGTAACTTTCAATATCCCTCCCCACCCTTCTCCTTATTCCTCCAGCTTTTCTGGCTAAGCATGATGCCATGTGGTATGGATTATCTGTGCAGTCTATTGGGGTCAGCTGTCATAGCTTTGTCCCCTCCAAATTTATTGGGCACCCCCCAGCCTGCTTGTTGACAAGGCAATGTGAGAAACTGAAAAAGCCTGGACTCTTTTTAAGTACTGATTAACAACAATTAAAACATCCATGACTTATCCACACTGTTTTGGTTTTAAATTTAAAATTTAGCACCAATCTCCTCTGAAGAGTTATCTCTATCCTAGCAAAACCCAACAAAAGCACAAAATAAAAAGTTAGAACACTGAGGTATCTTTGTGAAAGAGCAAAAGCTATATATTTTTTAGTTAGGAGGACTAGCATATCCAAACAATAAGCACAAATAACCCAAAAATAACTTAATTTTTGTTTCTCTGGTCAGCCCTTAAGATTTGTAAACATTTTAGTCACCATAAAAATTAAAAAATAAATCAGCCTGTATCAGCATTTTCCTATAAAGGTGGAGGTGTGAAAGAGGAACACACTCAATTTGATGTTCTTGGATACACTTGCACATACTACATTCAGCAACAGGATTGTTAAAAGCCTCTGTCTCCATCACCAGACATTACCAGAGTCCATGTCATTTAACATGGAGGGGCTTCAGTGGAGGAGACCCTATGCTCAGTAGGGCTGGGCCAAACTAGAGCACACAAGATGTTATCTTTCTGCTATCTCAAGATGCTAAGCCTATGATAAGGTAAAAAGAATGGCACAACCACCCAAGGAAATAATTTTTAACAAGTATTTAAGTAGAGTGGACCACAGTTTATAATTGTCTTCAAAGACAGAAATGGAATTTATTAAGAGGCAAAATACCTGCAGTTGGAGAGTTTGCATGGTGAGACTTTTTGGGCAGGTTAAAGATCTGTTCACCAGGATCTGGTGGAGGAAGAGCATCTTGGCCTTGTCGAGCTTCCACAGGATCATACTCCTTCCCGTCATAGTTAGCATCGAAGAACTTCTTAAACCATTGAATGAAATCTAAGTTGTCTTGGAAGCGCCCTTTGACCAGTTTTTCCACAGGAATTACCTAAAAGGTAGATATTAACATCCAATATTACATCACTGCTGTTTTTAAATATAAAAATTACATATACACACTTATTTTAAAAAATCTATTAACTGCATCAACAAATAAACCTCTGCCATTTTTTTGTTCCTAAAAGAAAGGGTCAATTTGCAAGTGCTTTTAAAAAATGAAAACAAAACCCAATGAGATCCAGCCCCTGAAGCAGTGATACACTGGGTGTATGTAAGCCTTTATAGCTGTGGTTCCTCAGAAGTACTCCCTTACATCCCATGGGTACATCCCATGATGAATGACACTGTTCTGGGAGTAACACAATATTCAGCCAACTAGGGATTTCTGGTTTTAATGGACATGGTACAGTTTGACGTACTACAAACAAACAATTCTTCAGAAACTCCAGACAGATGTTTCTTTCTCTCTGTCCTACTGTTTGAACTACAAAACCCAGCAGCTTTTCCAAGACATGCTAAAGTTCAAACCAACCTACATTTTGGTAGCACATGGTCGTCATGTGAACCAAGCCTGAGGTTTTAACCTTGTAATTTCTTTCTGTTCCACATATAGCTATATATAGAACAGTTTGTGAACATGCAGAAGTTGACTTAAATGCCTTATAAAGTTCTACTAAAACAGAGGAAAGGCTATGAGGATGTCTCAATATCAATATTTTAGAAATTTTTCATAGACATGAAACCTCCAAAAAGTTTCTTCCAGCCAATATTAGAGTACTCAAGGCTTCCAGATACTGTGGGCAGACAGGGACTACAACTGCAGAAGAGCTGCCCTGCTTTGCTTAATTCAAGCAGCTGATTAAACAGCCAAATTAGGGGGACCTTAATGCCTTTTGAATGTTATGAATTATCAGCTGGAAAAGGGTTTTCTTTTTCTTCTTCAGGATTAAGCCAACTGTACAGCATTTTATAAATCTATGATGCTTCTGCAAGAATTGACATTGCATTTTGCATGTCTTTTCAGGTTGTTCCATTTGTACCTCAACTCTACATTAAAAAGGCAGGATAAATTGGATAAATTTGCTCTCTACAACAAAATTGACTACATTAGTCTTCCCAATGTTTCACTAGCAAATCACACTGTAAACAGAAGTACCCATAACATTTCATGAAACAATGAGGGTTTTCCAGTTATTCATAGAAGTCTTAAGGGACCCTTTGTTATAACTGTTTAAATTGCAGAAAAAGGCAACACTAAAAGCCAGGGCAGAACCTTAAAAGGGTAAACAGATAGTGCATCAGTGTAAAACTATAAGCATGATAACATAACTTCCATTATTCATTTTTATCAACACAGTAATTTATATTGGTGAGTCTGTCAAACTCTCACATTCAAGCATAAATCAAATACCTTAAGCGTGAACAAGCATTTTCTCAGAGGCTTCCATTCTTAACTTTACAAGATCACATGTGCTACCCATCTATTCAATCACTGGGTAAATTATTCCAGCTTTTGAATAATTTAAATTCCTCAAACTCTGCTTTGGGGAAAAAAACCAAAAACAAACCCCCCCCCCCCCCCCCCCAAAAAAAAAAAAAAAAACCCCCCAAAAAACCCCAAAAAACAAAAAAAAAAACCAAAAAAAAAAACCCCAAACAACAAAAAAAATAACCAAAAAACCAAAAAAAACCCCACAACCAAAAAAAACCTTTAAGAACAGCATATTTTCAAATATGTTTTGTTGGAAATTTAGGTCACCAATAATTTTACTTATCAAAAAATGAAGATTCACTGATGACAACGAATTTCCAACACATGGAGTTTTATCAAAGGGTCTCTGGTATTAAGATATAATGAGTCAGATGGCACAACTCCTTAGCAGACATGTGGACTCAATTTTCAATTTGTACATAAGTGGAGCCAAATGCCAAACTTCTCCCTTCACGCCCAAATACCCTTTTCAGATGATGAAAGGTCAAGAACATCTACTTGCAATTCTAGCTCTCCATCTAAAAGTTGAAAAAGTGCATTTCCAAGTATTTTGAAGTTCGTTTCTCCTATCTATTAATTTACACAATTTATGTAACTTTTGAAACATGTAGTGATCAAAACATAAATACAGGATTCCTACCTTATCCACATTCATTCTTTTAAATGATGCCTGCAGAAGTTTGAAGTTGTGAATGTACTCATGCTCCAGCTTTGCTTGAAACTTTACTTTCTTCAAGCTAATGCACCCTGGGAACAACATGTCCATGAACTGGCAGTAAGCTGCTCCTATAACAAGAGAATGCACTGACGTTAATCCAGATGCACCCAGCTAAGACCAAATGGTGTTTAATGTCATTAGCAGAAAGCATGAGCAGAAAGCAACAGTGCTGAATAAGTCCCTGCTGTAATTCAGCCTAACACCATGCACGCAAGACCCACTTATCACAAGTTCAAGTGGCTCTTTTCCACTCAGTCTGGATCCACGATGTGCTGCCGTGCAGCATCTGAGGAATCACCTCGACTAATGCAAAGTGAAACGCATGTTCTTGGAGTCCCCATACACAGCAGGACGGTTCATACAATAAGAAGATAACAGTGAAAATGAAAATCTCTTAATAAGCTTCCTCAATCCCCACAGTCCCCTGAATTCAAATAAGCCAGGATCATCTTTCTTCTGGCCTTTGCACCCAAATGCCAAGCAAGTCCATTGCAATTATTTAAGATGATATCAAACCATGATTAAAAAAAAAATAATTGCAATGCTCCAGCTTGTTGAAACACACTAGTCAGGTCCCACTCCTTTGCAATGAACGTCCTTACTAATTTTCATTTCCTGAGAAAAGCATTTAAATAAGCAGACTTTAGCATAGTCCACCCATAGCTTTCAAAGACGGGCTAACAGCTTTACTTCTCTCACAGCCAGGTTCCTAAGTTCAACTTTGACAGCTTTCTGAACTCACAGGCAGTAGGGGTGTGTGTGTATAACTAATTCAGAACAAAGAAGGAAGTACATGGAAAAACTTCTAACCAGCATCCTGAGCATGACTAACAGAAACAGCATTTCTTGCATGCAGGCAGCTTCCTCCTAGAGCATCATGCCACTGTCATTTGCAAAACCCTTACTGTTGACACACTCAGGTGTTTAGAAATCGAGATGAAAATACTTAAGTAAATCAGAGGAAAAGCAATTCTCTTTCTTCTTCATAAGATTTTTCTACAAAATACTTTATACTCAGCAAAGATTCACTGATGTCCATGCGGTACTGCAGAGGGTGCAGCCCCTGTGCTCGAGCATCAAGGCAGGGAAGTGACTGCCCGATTACCCCTGACAAGCTCAATATCACTTCCACAAAAAAGACTGTTGTGCTTTTAGTGCACATCAGTTTGACAAAGAAGAGTCCAGATCTCACCTAACAGTTCAGCCCACTATTAACAATGATTTTTTTATCACAGATATTTCTGAGTGTTCACAGAGAAACCAAAGTAACAAAGCAGACACCTGGCTTGCCCAGTTTTACAGAAGCGTCACAACAACTTGAACTTAAAGTAATTTTTCTCCATGGGTATGTGTATGTTTTGACACGACCAGCTTTATGCATGAGATGGTTCTCATTCTCTGTATCCAGTCAGCCATCACACAAAGGGTTACTGAGATCATCACTTCCCAAACAGAAGAAGAGTTTAAGAGTCCAAAAATGTTCTCTGAAATACCAACACAAATTTTGCTAAGGGACTTACCAAGATCCAGCTTCAGTGCTGAAAACCACTGATATTAAAAAAAAGAATCTGTTCATGTTGCCTGGCTTTGTGGGGAAAATGGTTATTAAAAAACCTCATTTTCCAAGGACACCTTGTGCTTAGCTGTTTGCAATGGTCTTGATATGATCAGGAATCAAAGTAAAATATTCCCTAAAGGGAAAGGCGTCTTCTGGCAAGTTACAAGCATCAGATGACAGATTTGCATTTTCTTACAGAAAACTTTATAAACACAAATATTTATTCAAAACTCATCCTTACCAAAGAACTTGTAAATACATGGAATGGAAAAAATACATTACAGTTAAAAGCATAGATAGACAGATAATGCATAGCTTGAGTACACTTATTATTGTTTAATTTCATGCAAAAGGCTTATTATGCAATCATTTAATGTTATAAATTGTATTTGTTCCTAACTCTGTCCTTTCATCCTCCCCATACCCCAATTATAAGCTTTACTCTGATATCTAAGTAATTGCCTGGAGGCCCTAAAAATGCACTGCACAACCTTTCATCTAGATCCTTTTAGAAAACTAGAAGCCCAAAGTGTTCACATGAGATTTTTCTCCTTCTGCTGGTAATGCAAATTCCTTCTGCATGCCTTTAGATAGTCTCTCTCTAGTTAGGGTATTTCCTTGTGTTCTCCCTGCTGGCAGTTGTTTCTGTACCTTTGCCAGCCAGGAGGTGGTCCTGGGTCTGCACAACACTGGAGGGCAGAAAACACTGGACTGCATCCACATGGCAGCACGGAGCTGTTCTCTGACACAACACTGGAGCGGCTGCTGGGCCGTCTCCCCAACAGGAGGATTTCATTGCACTGACAAATACAGTTCATTAAAATACTCCTTCCTGAAGTGCAGAGGCAACAAACAAACATGGGTTGAACTAAACACTGAGCTACAAAGAGAGGAAATTCCTCCTGGCTCTAAAAAGCCAGAGACCTGCCTACCACACCAACAGGAGAAAGTAAAAATATCATTACAGTCAACAGGGACTACCTAATTTTGGACATTGAGGTTATGTATGTATTTAATATTATATAGGTGTTTATTTATAATTTAAGATTTTACTTCCTAAAGCTTGTAGATGTCAGATTATATTTAAATGGGAAACACCAGTGCAACAGAATGGGGACAGTACTGTCCTCACTGCCCATGGCTGAGATTTCCTGGAGGCAGCAGAAAGGGGAGCCCCACTTAAGTGATGTGAGACTGCAATGCCTTTACCTTTCAGCCACAGCATATCTGTGTGGTCCTCTGCATACGGGACAGCTCTTTAGGCCTATCCAATGTACCACACAACTGATGTTTCAATGCAGGTGCATGAGAAAAGAATATTTTTAATGGAATACAAAGAAAACAACAGTAGCGATAATGACATTATGGCTTGTGACTTACCTCTTGCATAATTTACACAAACAAAAGAATTTTTATGCTACTGTGTTTTTTTCAGTATTTAAAAACTTCCCTACTTTTTCTGGAAAAAAAATCAACAAAAACCAAAACCCCAACAAACCCCCACACCCCAAAAAAAACCAACCAAAAAATCCCCCAAACCTAAACCTTATCAAATGTGTACAGGGAAGTTGAAAACACACTGCCAGAATAGCTCTCACAATAAATCCATCTCTCTGACTGAAAAACTTTTATATGAATAAACATGCACATACTCACACAAAAAAAGAAATAATTTGACATCTACTCAAATGAAAGATGAAAAGTACAGCTGGTGGCACTGCAGAAGAGGAATCAATGTTAAAAACCTCTAATCCTTTATTAGCTAACAAGCAATTTAGAATCACTGGCTAAAAATCCTTTTGTGTTTTGATCTAGAATATTGATGCAGCCATTAGTTACAGAAGATATTCACAGGCCAGACTCTGAAATGAGCCTGCAAACGTGGCTGTGCTGAAATCACCCCCAGCAGTTGCTATTTTTAGTCCCATTAGTGAGCGGAAAAAGCCCAGCAGCATCAGGGCTTTGCAGGTGTTTCCTGGGCATCCCAGGCTTGGGGCAGAGCAGGCAAAAAGTGGAGGAGGGCATTGCATCCACCAGGCAGGCAAGCAGCTGCCAGAGGAGAGGAAGAGATGCCAGGGCAGAATTCAGACACAAGAGAACAAACTCAGAATTGAAAAGGTGGTTATTTAAAGCTGTTAAAATTCAAAAATTTTGCCACATGAAGTGGTAAAGCAGAAAATTACTACCAAATTTATAAAAACTGAGTATCTTACACCATTTTTGGAGTTGTAGACAATCTTTCACTAGTCCCTTACAGTAAGCAATGCTGAACTAATTTTAGGTTTTGTCCTGTATGACTTCTTCCCTGCTCCTGTGGTTCTTTCCCCAGACTGTCCATGCTGACTTAGCTTGCTCTGAAGCATATGCACTCTGCATCATTAGAGATTTTCAGCTTTTCTCCTCTCCTTCACCATCTGGAGGCTGATGAATCCACAAATGCAAAGAAGTATTTTCTTTATTATCAAAAATACTGCTGCTCCTCACTATTTAAATCAAAAGGAAATTAAAGGAGGTAACAATGAAGACAAGAGAATCCTGTTTGCAACCAGTTTTTGCCACTCAGTAAACTTCCTGGATTTCAGATTAGAGATCTGAAACCAAGATTAGACACTTGGTTTTCTTTAGCATTGATGTTTATATATTTATAAATTAAAAGGAAAACTTTATTTTCAAACTAACTGCTTTTAATATACTATAGGTAGAACTTATTATACTAATAACATATTTAGTAGAAGCACTATGAATATAAGCAGGAATAAATATAAACCAATATGTGTGTGCCCTACACAAATTAGGTCAGTCCTTCAAACCTAATGTCAAAAGACTGTCCCCCACTGCTCCTCCCTGAATCCCTGTAATGTGTGGGAGCAAGAGCCCAGAAAACCATATAAAACCACACATGCCAACATGGAAAACAAGGGGCCTATGAAAAGATGGGGCCTATGAAAAGACGGGGCCTATGAAAAGACAGGGCCTTGCTGGGGCAGGGGTGCGGCTGATTTCTTTTAATTCTGATACCCAAACCACAGCAAACAGAGCTAAATTCTACACTAGAAAATTGGTATAAATATTTAGTATTAGCTTTGTTCTAAAACTGCATAGAAATCAAGTTTAAACCTTTTAACCAGGTCTCAGTTTGATTTTCATACACTCAGTTTTTGAAAAATTCCATTTGGGAAAAAGGCTGACTGCACCTTTTTCTATAACAAAATTAGTTTGTTTGCTTCAATGAAATATTTAGATAATACAAAAACACATATCCAGTCATATCAGATACAAACTCCTTCAAATTATTCATTCTCTCCAAAGCTGCAACCACCTGATCATGCATTTGGAAAATGCAGGATGATTTGTGTATGAATTAGTCATCAGCACTTCAGTTCACAGTGGCTGCTTACACTGATGGAAAGCTGCACACACCCCGTATTTCTGTTGCTGGGACGACAGCAACAATCAAAAAAAACCAGTGACTTGCAAGGAGCATGTGTGACTTAATAGGTTGGTAAGAAA